AATGAATTAGATTTAATAATCGATACTACACTGAATTTCTAACAACCAACGGTTTCTAACGGTTCTATTGCGCGGGTTCAGCGGCAGAGGAACAGGCTTGTAAACACAGGTTTATATATTACAAAAATTAAACCTTTTCAAAAATGTATATCGTATACTATACCGATGTTGTGTTCTATTTATTTCTGTTTGAAAAGGTTGTAAACCGCCAATAGGGAGCAATGATAATAGATTACTCGGTCCATATGAATTTATTGTATAAAGTAAAAGAAGGAAGAAAGTTTGTAACAATAAAAATAGTATAAAAAATGGGTACAATATTAGAAAACATTCCCTACATAAATACTACGAAACATGTGTGATACAGTAAAGAACTTACCCCGAACGGGCTGTATTTTTTATAAAGTTAGGTTACTTGGTTTTAAAGATATTAGATAGGTTGCGTGATTTAGGAAACTGGTACACGGATCAAAATCAGAGGTAAAGACGAGCAGGAGCACTCGCTTTAGACATTTAGTCGAGTATGACGACGTATCGAAATAAAGTGAGAATGTTGAGGCAAAGTAAAAAAGAAGAACAAATCAAAATGTAAAAAATAAGTGGCCAGCAGCCAGAGCAAAGGTGATAAAAAGGCGGGATGGCGATGAAGGAGGTCGCAAAAATCATGGGTATGTATATGTAAAGTACAAGTAAAAGTAAGGGTAAGTTTTCTTGTAATTCGAGGTAAGTTTGTGTTTTTTTTCTATCGTGAAAATTTTTAAGAACCGTGTTTTCACACCGTGTATGTTTGTACTCAATTTTACTATATTTTTTTTCCAAAGTTCAACACTTTCACTGTTATGAGGAATAAACCAAAACAATTTGAGGTTGTATCGACTTTTAAAAGCAACATAAGTAGTCCACGATGTTATTCCTTCAAGGCGGCAGTGATCCGCCGCCAATTTGACTATATTATTAAAACACGAAAGATAATACAGGTAATAATTACGCAATAATTGCTCAATGCTCTTCCGCATAAAGGTAAACACACGAATTTGCTTGCACAAAGACCGCACTTTACAGATCGCATTTCGGCTTCAGGATTTTTGAGCGTTTGGGATTGATGGATGAAACCTTATCTATGGATGTACCCAACGTTTATTGTATAGATTGAAATAAACTTTAAATAACTTTCGTTATTACCGTTTTTAGACCATGGTTATCAAAGGTTGTTAACGTTCTTCGACATGTAAGTTTCATTACGATGATTCCCTTCATCGTTAGCGAGAAGTGTGGCAATTAATCATTCACAAATGCACGTATAAGTTAGAAATACAGTCACGGGTACATTTCGCCACAGGTATTCGAACCATTGACTTAATGCCTATAACACATATCACGTGATATTAGCAAAATCTAGAACTATTAGAATCTATTTCCAGTTATGTGTTAATAAAGACAGTGAAGTAAAAATAATTCCGTTCAATTCCTAATTAAGTGAACCTTACTTTTTATCGCTATTTTGGTTTTCAAAATTTGAAGTTTACGAGGTTTACAATTTCAGTGAAACAAAAAGTGTATATTGTACAGCTTCTGCGTACTTCGATGACAAAAACCCTCGATATTGACCCGTCTAGCTCTTGCAAATTGTTTCTATCTGTGATATTTGAAACAACATCGTAAATGATAAATGTGTACAAGTAAATGTTTATTTTTCCAAAGAGTGATTTATTTACCTAGAGTTTCTTGTTCATCTAACTTACTATTTATGTATTTAAGTTACTATTGTGTGTTGCCACTGTAATTTTGTTTTCAATAAAGAATATTTCTTTTATTTGACTCCTGGCAAGAATGGTGTTGATATTGACTTCTTTCTTTTTTGTGGGACGAATGATGGGACTAAATGATGGGACGAACAAGTCGTGCGCCTGGTGGTAAGCGACACGCCTGTCTATAACAGTTGCAGTGCCACTCAGTGCTTTGAATCACGAAGTTATGAGCGCAACTACCACTACGCCCGTCACTCTGACACATAGGTTGACAAGTCCCATGTGCCTGTAATTTCACCAGCACCCTTACCCTTCAAAACTGGAACACATAAATGCTTACATTAATTCTTGGCAGCAGAAATAGGCAAGGTGGCAATAAGTACTTCCGTGGACGAAGGACAAGGAGCTCTCCCGCTAATAAACATTGCAACATCTATGTTCGTGTTGTAGTAAAAGATTTTTTACAAGTCTAATATAATAATCAAGTATAATAGTCTAAGTAATGTTTCAATGATTTTTAGTTGAATAACTCTAGTTGAAGCTTTATAGTTTATTAGATTAGATACCATATTTGTATACAGGTGACCATTTTTTCATAACCTTTTATTGCACGTTTCGTTGGCAACAAAGGTGCGACGTATCTGCGCGCGTTTTGGAATGACTCTGTCTCGAAATGGACGCGCAAATGGGTACAGGCTGTCATTATCAAGTCAATTCAATAAGAGAAACTAATGTACAATTACGACAAATGAATAAAACCACAATTCAGTAATAGATTTCAGCATTAACGAAAAACGTTGAATTAAGATAACAACGATTATATAACCCAGCGATCGTTGTTGTACATTTGCGAGGCCTGTGTTTTTGTTACCTAAACAAAATCTAGGCAATTTTAATTTAGTCAAAAACTGGATATCTTACAAACACAAGGAATAAATTAGAAATATGGCCCAAATGACGGCCTAATTTGGGATTTTATAGTCGAACGTATGTTTGTATTAGGTTCCAAATTATTTAATAAAATAACGGATGCTGTAAAAGAATTAAATTGTAGACAATTTACAATGAAATTGCATAATTTGTTAGTTAATGCTACTACAATACTGATAATTTTTATTTGATAACATAAACTGTATAATTGAATTAACGTACGTTCTATTTTTAATAAATTCTAATCGTTCTTTATGCAATAGCATGAATTAAAGTGCGTGTTACATCAAAAATTAATTAAGAAATGTGTAAAATATTCGCATGGCAGGTTTTGGTGAAATGTACGATCTAATACAATATACCATAACCCCTTCATTGTTAAGTACCTTTTACAGCGAATAATTTTTTTTTTGTAACATCAAGTGACGGGGCGATAAAGTCGTGCGTCTGATGGTAAGCTACACGCCTATCCATGACAATAACAGTGCCACTCAGAGCTTTAAATTGCGAAGATCTGAGGGGCACTGCCACTGCGCCCGTCACTCTGTGACGTAAGTTGACAACTCCCATGTGCCCGTAATTTCACCAGCACCCCTACCCTTCAAAACCGGAACACAGCAACGCTGACATTACTGCATGGCGGCAGAAATAGGTATGGTGGCAGGGAAGTACTGCTCTTTCACTAAGAGCTCTACTGCTACTAAAAATCTGTATTCTAGTATCTAGTATTCTAAGAACCACTGCCTACATAGGCTACCAGAACGTTAAATCGAAGTCAAAAGACGATTGCAGACATTCTTTTTTTCAAATGAACATTCTGGTATAGGCACCTATGTGGGTAGCTCATATCGCACTGCTATTACAATAGTGTTATAACTCAAAATATGTGAAATTCAAGATTATACTATTGCTGAACGTAAAATTTAATTCTCTACACAGCCATAAAACTGTCTTAAGGATATTGTAAGAAACAGTTAAAATAATCTACTTAACTTAAAATGCGACAAAATTTTGTGAGCTAATTCTGGACAAAACAGTCCTTACTCAAAAATATTAAATTATATTATCCTTTTTAGTTGTAAATATATTTGGCAAGTAGGATTATTTAGATGACTGTAATAAACTTTAACTAATACGTATATTTTAATAACCTTTCACGAGAAGTGAGATATTCGTTTTTCATCGATTCTAAAAAAATACACTTTTTGAGTTAATACACTTTTGTATTAATAGTGCGATACGGATTTTGTTGTCATAATTCCATTTAGAACTGCTGCTTGGTTCCACTGCCTCCGTGGTCGAACGGTTACCATTACTGCCACGCAGAGATCCCACGTTCGATTCCCGGGCCAGGAGAAATATTTGTATGGCCTTCATTTATTTATCTCGTGAGTTTGGGTGTAATTTGTGGTTGTCTATGTGAGTGTCCATGGCACCCACGATACAGGGTTTCCCTAGTGCGGGGCTATGTTGAGCATGTGCGTGTGTGCGTTTTATTATTACTAGTGGGTCTAAGCATGGGTGGAACCATGAGTATTTGGATTTACTCGTAGTACTCAAGTACTCATGGTTCCATTGCTTAACACAAGTGGATCCATAATTCAACCTCTTTTTAACGTTCTTGTAAATATGTCCATGGGTATTGATGGACGAAACCTGTCATACATGCATCATAGGATTGAGAACTGTGGAAACCATAAAAAAGTATGCAAGGTTCTGATGTGTGTGTTAGTAAACAATAGATTAAAGATGAATAAAAGTTTTGGTAAAAACGCTGTGCCGCCGTGCGCCAATGTCCGAGTAGAGTCGAGGCCCGCGATTTTATTCGCTACTAAAGCTATTAGTTTTTTAACAAACAACTGTCGTCCTGTTGGGTTTTGTCCCATTCAATGTTTTCTTATTTTTGTTTAAATTATTTGCTTAGACCCCAAACTTTCCATTTAGGTAGATACATTGCGCCACAATTTATACAAGACAATTTTGTAATAGGATAATATGGATTTACTTATTGTTGTTGTCTTATAGTCAGTTTAGTGTTAATAAAAATATATGTGGACAATCACGCCAATTACCGGGTAACAAATAGGGGACTCTAATGATACGAGCTAGCAAGCTACGTTGCTAGTTACACTAAAGGAGTTTTAAAGTAATAAACAGACAGACCTAATGCAGTACTGAAAATTTTATTTACTGAATTCATTGTCGAAAATCAAATTAGATTACTTTCACGAAACGTGCTGGAACACACACTGAGTTACCGTGTGATTTTAATTGAAAGCTGAAACGTAAATGGTTGTGGTAAATATAAGCAAATTTACTTACTAAGTTTCAATGAGTTCGCAATTGAGCAGCAACTTTCCAGGTCCTAATTCCACAACGGCAACTGTCTGGTCGTGGTAGTAGATCATGCGAAGCGTGTCATTGCTCACTCTTCGTCCTGTGTACGGCTTTACACCGGCCGCTGGTTCTCTTCTCTCCGCTTCGTCGGACCTCGCTCCGACTGTGCCTACAAGACCGGCCAATGACCAGCCGGCTGGAAAGCTGAAGGCAAATGGTTTTGCTGATGCGGATGGCGGTGAAGACACTGCGATGAAACATATAACTATAATTGAAACTAATGATTTGAGGAGTCCGTCGGCCATGGGAGCGCCGCGCGTGATAGCCTCGCGCGCGGTCCTCACCGCACTCAGCAACCTCCGAAGCGACATGATTATTCGCGCGATTGTTTCTCTGTAGCGCACTCGTCCATGACGCGTGTGATCCGCGCGGCTGCCACTCGTCGACTGTCGCCTGGTACGAGCGGGAAACTTTCTTCGCCGTGACGTCACGACCCCTATTCCACTGCTCTTGGCTCTTGGCCCATCACGACGGTGCCGAAGGCAGCGGCTGGACTATGCGGCAGCTTATTTATTCACAAAGTTGGCTCTGGAATGCGCCATATTATTTATTTAGACTAAATTGCTGAACCAGGCTAAGTTTACTATAATTGTCAAACACTCGGTTCGGGATTGTAGAGTGTGTAAAGTCTCTACACCCAAAGTAGGTATATTTCGGATATTGTGACTGACTATTTAATACTTCCATGGTGATAAAACTCTATAAAAAAGTTAAAAATAAGGAAATATGAATCTATTATCCAAATCATTCCATTCTTACTTAAGCAATTATTGTGCAATTATGACAACATTTTACTATCCAATGAAATAATAATTGCGATTGTTTATTTGTGACGTTAAAAGTTGTTTTTGATTGTTTACATTACGTAAATAGTAAGACTCTGGTTATAAGTCTTTTTTAATTGACAAAACGCTTAGAACAATCGTGAAGATAAATTCTATAAGACCTTATGAGCCATCCCGCGTCTGTACGCGGGACTGTGTCCCGACCTGGCACCTTGTGACTTTTATTTATTTCCAAAAATTAAGAACCAGTTACGCCGTCAACGATTTTCATCACCTGTAGAGGCTGTCGAAGAGTAAGAAAAATACGTTTCAGAGATTGTCACGGAGGTGTGGCATAAATGTTTTCAAAATTGGTTCATTCGTATGAAAAAGTGCATTAACGCTAACGGAGAATATTTTGAGAAACAATAAATGCATTTCTGATTATTGATAGTATTTTTTTCTTATTCATTCCGGAAACTTATAGTGCGCCTCACGTATTGTTCCGATTAGAAATGTCAAAAGTTTCCTATCGGCCACTTGTAAGTTTCCGATCGGGAGAGGCAATCAAAATGAAGCTGTTGGAGACCTAAAATACAAATCTTTGATTTAGTTTAGACTGCAGCTTTCCACAAAATATCTACTTTGTTTCGTAAGTTTTTTTTAGTAAGTACCTGGTCTTATTACTTTGCGGGAGAAATAAACGATGATTATTATTATTAATTGTATGAATAATAGCATCGATAGTATGGTGCATATTTTAATATTTCATAAATCTTCTTTTATTATCACCATCATCATCATCAAGCCATTTATACGTACCACAGCTGGGCACCGGTCTCCTCTCAGGCGAGGGTTTAGGCACGTTAGCCCAATGCGGGTTAGGAGCTTCATAATTTTTCCGGGAGTTGTGAACCTTCTTCGACGTGCATCGAAAAGCTCATAGTAAATTTCTAATTAAATTTCACACATAAATTCCGAAAACTCAAGAGGTCAAACCCGGATTCTTTGTTATTCTCTAGTTCCGGTTTGGAAGGGTAAGGGTGCTGGTGAAATTACAGCCACAATGTTGGCAAAAGTCTTCAAAAACCTAAAACTAAGAGTTGCAACAAGCGCATAGAAAAATTCGTAAGGTCCGCTGGTTCGTTCCATGGCTAAGTTGAAAGAAATAAGAAGAAAGAAAGAAGAGGAAAAAGAGAAGAAGAAAGTAGTTGACTTAATTATAACAAACTAGTGGAGCTTAAAGTGGAGAATAAATTTCTCACAGATGGCGCTAAGTATTGACTTACAATTATATGGACGTCGGGTCCGCGCTAAAAAGTGAACTTATAGGGCGTTAAAATCGTATACAGAGCGTCATTCACGCTTTAGACTTCGTGTGTTCGACTGACAGCGAAGCAAGCAAAATTAGACAGTACTGCGATGACATTACAATTTAAATTCAACGTTTTAGCTTTTTCATATTCCTTTACATGTCACATTTAAATAGGTTGATTTGGGACATTTTTTTCGTGTTTTTTGTATTAGACCCGTCGTCCATTTATTTGTAAGTCAATGGCGCTAAGGCATAAAAAGATCTGCAAAAAGCACACAGAAAAATTAGTTTCTACTTTGTCACCGAGCAAATCTCTAAAACAATTCGTGTTGTTCCATTTCCATTTGTTTGAATACAGGTGTTTGTGTGGTGTGTATAAAAATAAATAATAAGGTTCCTAAAATTATTAGGGACGAGGTTAACAATAACACGTTCAATAAAAAACTTACTAACTACTTGGTACAAAATGTTTTTCGAGAGCAAAGGCATTCAAATTCAAAATAATCTTTATTTCATAGGTAAGCATTATTACACTTGAAATCGTCACAATGGTTAAACTCTACCGCTCATTCGTAAGGCAGATTCCCCTGAGAAGAATGAGCAAGAAACTCTAGGGGTTGCTCTTTGTAAATAACATTTACAATATTTTTTTTTGTTTGAAACATCAGAGATCGAGACTACCTCCATGAGCTAAACGGGTACTACCACGGATTTTTGTCATCCAAGTACGCAGAAGTTGTATAATAACCTTTAGTATAAAGTTTTTGTTTCACTATAGTTTTAAACCTCGTGAAAGGCAAATTTTGTATATCAACCGGAATCTTGTTATAGAAGCGTATACATTGCCCCTTAAATGATTTTTTGACTTTGTGAAGACGACTATCAAGAAAAGCTAGTTTATTTCTATTCCTCGTATTAATGTTATGTCTGTATACATTATTATGAATATTATTATAAACGCTTTAACTAAATGAGTACCGTGTCAATTATAGATAAACTGCGGTGCCCTGCAGG